AGCGAAGAGTTTTTTTGATACATATTCTCAGCGAAGAGTACTTTAGCTACAAATTCTCAGCGAAGAGTACTGTGACTACATATACTCAGCGAAGAGTTTTTTTGCTACATATACTCAGCGAAGAGTACTTTGGCTACATAAACTCAGCGAAGAGTACTGTGACAACATATACTCAGCGAAGAGTACTTTGGCTACATATACTCAGCGAAGAGTACTGTGGCTACATATACTCAGCGAAGAGTACTTTGGCTACATAAACTCAGCGAAGAGTACTGTGACAACATATACTCAGCGAAGAGTACTGTGACTACATATACTCAGCGAAGAGTACTTTGGCTACATATACTCAGCGAAGTGTACTGTGACTACATATACTCAGCGAAGAGTACTTTGGCTACATATACTCAGTGAAGAGTACTGTGACTACATATACTCAGCGAAGAGTACTGTGAATACGTATACTCACTTAAGAGTACTTAGGATACATATTCTCAGCAAAGAGTACTTTGGATACATATTCTCAGCGAAGAGTACTGTGAATACGTATACTCACTTAAGAGTACTTAGGATACATATTCTCAGCAAAGAGTACTTTGGATACATATTCTCAGCGAAGAGTGATTTGACAACATCATCAGTATTCTCAGTGAAGAGTACTTTTGCTACATATACTCAGCGAAGAGTACTTTGGCTACAATCTCAGCGAAGAGTACTGTGACTACATATACTCAGCGAAGAGTACTGTGACTACTTATTATCAGCGAAGAGTACTTTGGCTACATATACTCAGCGAAGAGTACTTTGGCTACATATACTCAGCGAAGAGTACTTTGGCTACATATTCTCAGCAAAGAGTGATTGGGCAACATCATCAGTATTCTCAGTGAAGAGTACTTTGGCTACATATACTCAGCGAAGAGTACTTTGGCTACATATTCTCAGCAAAGAGTGATTGGGCAACATCATCAGTATTCTCAGCGAAGAGTACTGTGACTACATATACTCAGCGAAGAGTACTGTAACTACATATTCGCAGCAAAGAGTACTGTGACTACATATACTCAGCGAAAAGTTTTTTGATACATATACTCAGCGAAGATTACATTGGCTACATATACTCAGCGAAGAGTTTTTTTGATACATATTCTCAGCGAAGAGTACTTTAGCTACAAATTCTCAGCGAAGAGTACTGTGACTACATATACTCAGCGAAGAGTTTTTTTGCTACATATACTCAGCGAAGAGTACTTTGGCTACATAAACTTAGCGAAGAGTACTGTGACAACATATACTCAGCGAAGAGTACTTTGGCTACATATACTCAGCGAAGAGTACTGTGGCTACATATACTCAGCGAAGAGTACTTTGGCTACATAAACTCAGCGAAGAGTACTGTGACAACATATACTCAGCGAAGAGTACTGTGACTACATATACTCAGCGAAGAGTACTTTGGCTACATATACTCAGCGAAGTGTACTGTGACTACATATACTCAGCGAAGAGTACTTTGGCTACATATACTCAGTGAAGAGTACTGTGACTACATATACTCAGCGAAGAGTACTGTGAATACGTATACTCACTTAAGAGTACTTAGGATAAATATTCTCAGCAAAGAGTACTTTGGATACATATTCTCAGCGAAGAGTACTGTGAATACGTATACTCACTTAAGAGTACTTAGGATACATATTCTCAGCAAAGAGTACTTTGGATACATATTCTCAGCGAAGAGTGATTTGACAACATCATCAGTATTCTCAGTGAAGAGTACTTTTGCTACATATACTCAGCGAAGAATACTTTGGCTACAATCTCAGCGAAGAGTACTGTGACTACATATACTCAGCGAAGAGTACTGTGACTACTTATTATCAGCGAAGAGTACTTTGGCTACATATACTCAGCGAAGAGTACTTTGGCTACATATACTCAGCGAAGAGTACTTTGGCTACATATTCTCAGCAAAGAGTGATTGGGCAACATCATCAGTATTCTCAGTGAAGAGTACTTTGGCTACATATACTCAGCGAAGAGTACTTTGGCTACATATTCTCAGCAAAGAGTGATTGGGCAACATCATCAGTATTCTCAGCGAAGAGTACTATGACTACATATACTCAGCGAAGAGTACTGTAACTACATATTCGCAGCAAAGAGTACTGTGACTACATATACTCAGCGAAAAGTTTTTTGATACATATACTCAGCGAAGATTATATGGCTACATATACTCAGCGAAGAGTTTTTTTGATACATATTCTCAGCGAAGAGTACGTTAGCTACAAATTCTCAGCGAAGAGTACTGTGACTACATATACTCAGCGAAGAGTTTTCTTGATACATATACTCAGCGAAGAGTACTGTAACTACATATTCTCAGCGAAGAGTACTTTGGCTACATATTCTCAGCGAAGAGTACTTTGGCTACATATACTTAGCGAAGAGTTTGTTTGATACATATTCTCAGCGAAGATAACTTTGGCTACATATTCTCAGCGAAGAGTACTGTGACTACATATACTCAGCGAAGAGTACTGTGACTACTTATTATCAGCGAAGAGTACTTTGGCTACATATACTCAGCGAAGAGTACTTTGGCTACATATACTCAGCGAAGAGTACTTTGGCTACATATTCTCAGCAAAGAGTGATTGGGCAACATCATCAGTATTCTCAGTGAAGAGTACTTTGGCTACATATACTCAGCGAAGAGTACTTTGGCTACATATTCTCAGCAAAGAGTGATTGGGCAACATCATCAGTATTCTCAGCGAAGAGTACTATGACTACATATACTCAGCGAAGAGTACTGTAACTACATATTCGCAGCAAAGAGTACTGTGACTACATATACTCAGCGAAAAGTTTTTTGATACATATACTCAGCGAAGATTATATGGCTACATATACTCAGCGAAGAGTTTTTTTGATACATATTCTCAGCGAAGAGTACGTTAGCTACAAATTCTCAGCGAAGAGTACTGTGACTACATATACTCAGCGAAGAGTTTTCTTGATACATATACTCAGCGAAGAGTACTGTAACTACATATTCTCAGCGAAGAGTACTTTGGCTACATATTCTCAGCGAAGAGTACTTTGGCTACATATACTTAGCGAAGAGTTTGTTTGATACATATTCTCAGCGAAGATAACTTTGGCTACATATTCTCAGCGAAGAATACTGTGACTACATAAACTCAGCGAAGAGTTTTTTTTATACATATTCTCAGTGAAGAGAACTTTGGCTACATATTCTCAGCGAAGAGTTTTTTTTATACATATACTCAGCGAAGAGTACTGTAACTACATATTCGCAGCGAAGAGTACCTTGGCTACATATTTGCAGCGAAGAGTACTTTGGCTACATATACTTAGCGAAGAGTACTGTGACTACATATTCTCAGCGAAGAGTACTGTGACTACATATTCGCAGCGAAGAGTACTTTGGCTACATATTCGCAGCGAAGAGTACTTTGACTACATATACTTAGCGAAGAGTACTGTGACTACATATTCTCAGCGAAGAGTACTGTGACTACATATACTCAGCGAAGTGTTCTGTGACTACATATACTCAGCGAAGAGTTCTGTGACTACATATTCTCAGCGAAGAGTACTGTGGCTACATATACTCAGCGAAGAGTACTGTGACTACATATACTCAGCGAAGTGTACTGTGACTACATATACTCAGCGAAGAGTTCTGTGACTACATATTCTCAGCGAAGAGTACTGTGACTACATATACTCAGCGAAGAGTACTGTGGCTACATATTCTTAGCGAAGAGAACTGTGGCTACATATACTCAGCGAAGAGTACTGTGGCTACATATACTCAGCGAAGAGTACTTTGGCTACATATTCTTAGCGAAGAGTACTGTGACTACATATACTCAGCGAAGTGTACTGTGACTACATATACTCAGCGAAGAGTTCTGTGACTACATATTCTCAGCGAAGAGTACTGTGACTACATATACTCAGCGAAGAGTACTGTGGCTACATATTCTTAGCGAAGAGAACTGTGGCTACATATACTCAGCGAAGAGTACTGTGGCTACATATACTCAGCGAAGAGTACTTTGGCTACATATTCTTAGCGAAGAGTACTGTGACTAATTATACTCAGCGAAGAGTACTGTGACTACATATACTCAGCGAAGAGTACTGTGGCTACTCGCTGGTATCTTTCTTAACATTTTCAGATCACATAACACTTCTTCTGCAATGCGTTCCCATCTTCCATATGCCATGACCAATTTTTTTAACATGTCGGTAAATCATTTCTATATTCTGAACTGTTTTAAGTGCATCGTCTGATAAACATTGTTTCAAAGCAAATGAATCTGCTGTTATAACGTTTCGGTTATTACATCTGAAAATAGGTATCTCTCACTTTTTTGATAAATATCAGTGAGTCTAAGTTTTTGATTTTTACGAAATGTCTGTTTAGTTGGAGTCTTTATTCTTTATTTCCTTTTCTGTTCTGTATACGAATGTAGCATGAACTGACATAGCTTGATCTCGTTCTTTGTGATCGATGTCTGTATAAACATGAACTATCGCTGTTTTATCAGTTTCGTCATTAACATCAAGCAAATTCCATGTATGACCGTTTTCCCTACCTTCAGTAGTTGTTTCTAAGTCCTACAATATTATTTACCACGTCTTAGTTGGATTTTATACTGGCATGTTTTTAAATCTGTTGAATATCCTGTAAAATTTCCCCTGTGCTGTGCTTTTTTTCCTTTAACATTTTCCACTTTTCCACGAAATCCTTCCCATTTTTGTCACGACATTTGAACCATGTTTTAAAATGATTGAGGGTTGTCGCATTGGCAATCCTACCACATCTTTATTTTTATGCACTGAAAATAGATAATGCTTTAGCAAAAAAAAAATTATATTTGTAAAATTTTTTTTTAAATATATACGCATATCAGATTTAGAAAACGTTACTTAGCTATGTGGCATTTTATTTTTTGTTACAGACTTGTGCTCCCCTTTGGAAGAATATGATTCCCCTGAGGAATGCCAAATTTGTTCATGCAATTGGAAGATGTTTTAACGTTGACAGAAATCTTAAATCCAATACGACAAAACAGTTTAAAAACACAGTGTTTAGTGCACAATACACAGCAGAAAATAGTAACGAACTTAGTTTTGAAGTAGCACAGATCGGATTTTCAATATCTAATAAAAAGGTAAATATTTGACATTTTGTACAGAATATAAAACTTAAGAAGAAGTTTTATGATCTCCAACATGACAACTCTCCGCCAGAAACAAACTGACGTAGAAGTTAGCAAATAGGCCACAGTACGGCATTCAACAATGAATAAAACCCAAACCGCATAACAAGCTTTAAAATTTATGGGGTTCTTTGATATGCTGAATCTAACTAAGTGTGTATTTAGATTTTGGATTTTAGGCCCCATTATCAAATTGGTCTACAATGAGGTCCAAAGGGTCCAAAATTAAACTTACTTTGATTTCATCAAACATTGAATTCTTGGGATTCTTAGATATGCTGAATCTAACCATGTACTTAGATTTTGATATTGGACAAAAATAGGTAAAAGTCCAATTTCAAATTTTTAAGTTCTTTGACTACATTCATCCTGTGACAGAAAACTATGCTGTGTCAAATTTTTAATCACAATCCAAATTCAGAGCTGTATCAAGCTTGAATGTTATGTACTGTTGACCTGTATAAAGACCATACTATAATTGTAACATTTTTACTGTTGACAAGTATAAAGACCATACTATGATTGTAACATATTTACTGTTGACAAGTATATAGACCATACTATAATTGTAACATATTTACTGTTGACAAGTATGAAGACCATACTATAATTGTAACATTTTTACTGTTGACAAGTATAAAGACCATACTATGATTGTAACATATTTACTGTTGACAAGTATATAGACCATACTATAATTGTAACATATTTACTGTTGACAAGTATGAAGACCATACTATAATTGTAACATATTTACTGTTGACAAGTATAAAGACCATACTATAATTGTAACATATTTACTGTTGACAAGTATAAAGACCATACTTTAATTGTAACATATTTACTGTTGACAAGTATTACGACCATACTATGATTGTAACATATTTACTGTTGACCTGTATAAAGACCATACTATAATTGTAACATATTTACTGTTGACAAGTATAAAGACCATACTATAATTGTAACATACTTATTGTTGACAAGTAAAAAGACCATACTATAATTGCAACATATTTACTGTTGACAAGTATAAAGACCATACTATAATTGTAACATTTTAATGTTGACAAGTATAAAGACCATACTATAATTGTAACATATTTACTGTTGACAAGTATAAAGACCATACTATAATTTTAACATATTTTCTGTTGACCTGTATAAAGACCATACTATAACTTTAACATATTTACTGTTGACAAGTATAAAGACCATACCATAATTGTAACATATTTACTGTTGACAAGTATAAAGACCATACTATGATTGTAACATATTTACTGTTGACCTGTATATAGACCATACTATAATTTTAACATATTTACTGTTGACAAGTATAAAGACCATACTATAATTGTAACATATTTACTGTTGACCTGTATAAAGGCCATACTATAATTGTAACATATTTACTGTTGACAAGTATAAAGACCATACTATGATTGTAACATATTTACTGTTGACAAGTATAAAAACCATACTTTAATTGTAACATATTTACTGTTGACAAGTATAAAGACCATACTATAATTGTAACATATTTACTGTTGACCTGTATAAAGGCCATACTATAATTGTAACATATTTACTGTTGACAAGTATATAGACCATACTTCATTTGTTACACATTTACTGTTGACAAGTATAAAAACCATACTTTGGTTGTTACATATTTACTGTTGACCAGTACAAATACACATATTTACTGTTGACAAGTACAAAAACACATATTAACTGTTGACAAGTATAAAGACCATTATATTATAATTGTAACATATTTACTGTTGACAAGTATAAAGACCATTATATTATAATTGTAACATATTTACTGTTGACAAGTATAAAAACCATACTTCAATTGTAACATATTTACTGATGACAAGTATAAAGACCATACTATAATTGTAACATATTTACTGTTGACCTGTATAAAGGCCATACTATAATTGTAACATATTTACTGTTGACAAGTATATAGACCATACTTCATTTGTTACACATTTACTGTTGACAAGTATTAAAACCACACTTTGGTTGTAACATATTCACTGTTGACCAGTACAAATACACATATTTCCTGTTGACAAGTACAAATACACATATTTACTGTTGACAAGTATAAAGACCATACTTTAATTGTAACATATTTACTGTTGACAAGTATAAAGACCATACTATAGTTGTAACATATTTACTGTTGACAAGTATAAAGACCATACTATAGTTGTAACATATTTACTGTTGACAAGTATAAAGACCATACTATAATTGTAACATATTTACTGTTGACAAGTATTACGACCATACTATGATTGTAACATATTTTCTGTTGACAAGTATAAAGACCATTATATTATAATTGTAACATATTTACTGTTGACAAGTATATAGACCATACTTCATTTGTTACACATTTGCTGTTGACAAGTATAAAAACCATACTTTGGTTGTTACATATATTTACTGTTGACCAGTACAAATACACATATTTACTATTGACCAGTACAAATACACATATTTACTGTTGACCAGTACAAATACACATATTTACTGTTGACCAGTACAAATACACATATTTACTGTTGACAAGTATAAAGACCATACTATAGTTGTAACATATTTACTGTTGACAAGTATAAAGACCATACTATAATTGTAACATATTTATTGTTGACAAGTATAAAGACCATACTATAATTGTAACATATCTACTGTTGAGAAGTATATAGACCATACTATAATTGTAACATATTTACTGTTGACAAGTATATAGACCATACTTCATTTGCTACACATTTACTGTTGACAAGTATAAAAACCATACTTTGGTTGTTACATATTTACTGTTGACCAGTACGAATATACATATTTACTGTTGACCAGTACAAATACACATATTTACTGTTGACCAGTATAAAAACCATACTTTAATTATTACATATTTGCTGCTGACCAGTATGAAGAAGACCCCAAGCTGCACATTCTTCTTGGAGCTCCAGGGTTTTTTGAAAACAAAGGTAAGTGTAACTTTTTTTTCATTTTCATAGACCTTCAAAAAAAAATTGTGAACTCTTCCGGAAACACATGTAATGCGCACCGATATCATTACCGTCTACCGGTCCAAATAGTCGTTTGCTGGAGGTCAGTGTGATGTTTTCATTTGTTAATAATGGCTTTTCTTGATGGAATAATGACTCTTTCGCAATGGATGGGTCGTATAAAAATCATGATAGTAGGTCATGCGTACATTACCAGTAAAGTGTTCAATCAATATTACAAAATTTTAAACAACTTTAATAGTTCAATGATAACTCTTATATCTTATCCAACATTGTTTGTCATTCATAAAATGATTTCCAAGTTGAAATCAGTTAAATTACATATTTTGTTCAATATACAATGTTCAATTGGTTTAACATGTATATGAGAGATAAAACAAATATTAAATCGCCACTATACAAAAATGTGTTGTGAAATCGGACGCAAAAGTGAAATTGGGTCATAAGATAAAAAAAAAAAACATTTATTGAGTAACTTAATTATTACTATAATTTAAGATCTGATCCTAAATTTTAAGTCATTAATAAGAGTAAGTGTTATCACTCATGCGCATTGTAACACAATATAAAACTATAACACGCCTATCTATTAATAGTCGAAACTCCTACGATTTTGTAATGCATCGAGTGGTCATTTATAAATATTGAATTGTTCAGTTACACTTATCTCAATGTCTAGTATAAATGTCATGAGTGTGTAGACACAAAGAGCATCAATGTCTAGTATTAATGTCATGAGAGTGTAGACACAGAGAGCACAATGTCTAGTATTGAGTGTGTAGACACAGAGAGCATCAATGTCTAGTATTAATGTCATGAGTGTGTAGACACAGAGAGCACAATTTCTAGTATTAATGTCATGAGTGTGTAGACACAGAGAGCATCAATGTCTAGTATTAATGTCATGAGTGTGTAGACATAGAGAGCACAATGTCTAGTATTAATGTCATGAGTGTGTAGACACAGAGAGCACAATGTCTAGTATTAATGTCATGAATGTGTAGACACAGAGAGCATCAATGTCTAGTATTAATGTCATGAGTGTGTAGACACAAGAGAGCACGATGTCTAGTATTAATGTCATGAGTGTGTAGACACAGAGAGCATCAATGTCAAGTGTTAATGTCATGAATGTGTAGACACAGAGAGCACAATGTCTAGTATTAATGTCATGAGTGTGTAGACACAGAGAGCACAATGTCTAGTATTAATGTCATGAGTGTGTAGACACAGAGAGCACAATGTATAGTATTAATATCATGGGTGTGTAGACACAGAGAGCATCAATGTCTAGTATTAATGTCATGAGTGTGAAGACACAGAGAGCACAATGTCTAGTATTAATGTCATGAGTGTGTAGACACAGAGAGCATCAATGTCTAGTATTAATGTCACGAGTGTGTAGACACAGAGAGCACACTGTCTAGTATTAATGTCACGAGTGTGTAGACACAGAGAGCATCAATGTCTAGTATTAATGTCATGAGTGTGTAGACACAGAGAGCACAATGTCTAGTATTAATGTCATGAGTGTGTAGACACAGAGAGCACAATGTCTAGTATTAATGTCATGAGTGTGTAGACACAGAGAGCATCAATGTCTAGTATTAATGTCATGAGTGTGTAGACACAAGAGAACACAATGTCTAGTATTAATGTCATGAGTGTGTAGACACAGAGAGCATCAATGTCTAGTATTAATGTCATGAGTGTGAAGACACAGAGAGCACAATGTCTAGTATTAATGTCATGAGTGTGTAGACACAGAGAGCATCAATGTCTAGTATTAATGTCACGATTGTGTAGACACGGAGAACATCAATGTCTAGTATTAATGTCATGAGTGTGTAGACACAGAGAGCACAATGTATAGTATTAATGTCATGAGTGTGTAGACACAGAGAGCACAATGTCTAGTATTAATGTCATGAGTGTGTAGACACAGAGAGCACAATGTCTAGTATTAATATCATGGGTGTGTAGACACAGAGAGCATCAATGTCTAGTATTAATGTCATGAGTGTGTAGACACAAGAGAGCACAATGTCTAGTATTAATGTCATGAGTGTGTAGACACAGAGAGCACAATGTCTAGTATTAATATCATGGGTGTGTAGACACAGAGAGCATCAATGTCTAGTATTAATGTCATGAGTGTGTAGACACAGAGAGCACAATGTCTAGTATTAATGTCATGAGTGTGTAGACACAGAGAGCATCAATGGCTAGTATTAATGTCACGAGTGTGTAGACACAGAGAGCACAATGTCTAGTATTAATGTCATGAGTGTGTAGACACAGAGAGCACAATGTCTAGTATAAATGTCACGAGTGTGTAGACACAGAGAGCATCAAAGTCTAGTATTAATGTCATGAGTGTGTAGACACAGTGAGCATCAATGTCTAGTATTAATGTCATGAGTGTGTAGACACAGAGAGCATCAATGTCTAGTATTAATGTCATGAGTGTGTAAACACAGAGAGCATCAATGTCTAGTATTAATGTCATGAGTGTGTAGACACAGAGAGCATCAATGTCTAGTATTAATGTCATGAGTGTGTAGACACAGAGAACACAATGTATAGTATTAATGTCATGAGTGTGTAGACTCAGAGAGCATCAATGTCTAGTATTAATGTCATGAGTGTGTAGACACAAAGAGCATCAATCGTATATATGATTCTACTTGAAGAATTCCAATAAAAGATAATTATTAAGGTACAGACCGTTGTTCTTTTATCTTTTGTCACGTGTTGTAAAATTAAGGGGTTGGGGTTGAGATTGGCCCTTTTTCCTCTGATCAATCATTTGTTTTTTACTTTAATGAAAAACAAACATTTTGTTTTATAACAGATACAGGAGGAATAATTTGTTTGAAGCTAACTGTTTTATTTTGACTATTTTAAAAAAAAATTCTATTCATAAATAAATTCTTTTCCAGAAATTTAGAATCATACAATGTATTTAAATAACCCATGACTTCACGATAAATGAAAGATTACTAAAATAAATAAAGAGGGGGATGGATATGATGCTCATATAAGCGTCGGAACAAGTCCGGCTAAATTTGCACTTTTAAGAGGACTTTTTACGGCACAGAGTGTTGGCTTATTTCTGTTCGTGACTAAAGAAAGATGTGGGATATAAAGTTAGAAAGCAACTTGCCAATTAACGACACAGAAACCCAAAGACGTCTAGATTACATGTGACTTATGTACATGTAAGATGGACGAGTATTGCTTTACTGCTAATTTGTAGTTTTAGCAACGATGTGTTGGTCCCTTACATTGCAAAGTTGATAAGTATATGTAGTAAAAGAAGTCATTAATCTATCAAGACATAACATCACATAATCACAGCAATAGAAAATGTTTTATAATTACACGTTTTATAAGTCTCCCTATTACATACTAGTGTTCAGCCGTAAACATCCTTGCATTTCAGGGGGACTCCAAGTATTGCTTACATTGGTACATTTTGAGATCACCCGATTCAAATATGAGCTGCTTATTCAGTCATAATATAGCACAGCATATAAGATAAATATTCCTCATGCAACCGCGACAAAATGTCTGGGCAATTGTGTAATCTCAGTCCATCTGTCAGTCCCATAAAGGGTATAAGGTTTATACGACTAATTCCTCAGGACTACAACTAGAACTTTATATTATGTTTAGTGTTACATGTAGTATATATGATAAGAGTGTGCATATTATCAGGATTTTGGCTTTTATTTAAATTTTCAACAAATGACAGGTTGCATGACTGTTTTGCATTTTGGTGATATCAGAAATGTAGGGTACTTGGTTTGTACAACTGAATCTTTTATATTATGTAGAGTATACTATGTTAAGAATGTATGTTTTATCAGCATATTGATTTTCTTTAAATATTCCACTTATAGCTGAATGTTTAACTTTTTTTGCGGGTGCACCATGAATGAATGAAGCGAAGCGGTAGTATCATCTTTGTCTATTTTGGTAGATTTAATTTGATATGCAAATAATTATATAGGAAATGTTGGGTAAATTTAAAATAAAATAGCAATCCAACGACATCTAAACGACACTTACAGTTTTCAAAAAGAACATGAGTCGATATAATATATTGATCTCGAGCTTTAAATTTTAAATCTATAAACGTGTTGAATTTGATTTATCGGGACTATCAAAGATCTACCGTCAACACCACAGGTACTAATATATTAACATCATTATTGATTTATCGGGACTATCAAAGATCTACCGTCAACACAACAGATATTAATATATTAACACCACAGGTACTAATATATTAACATCATTATTGATTTATCGGGACTATCAAAGATCTACCGTCAACACAACAGATACTATTATATTAACATCATTATTGATTTATCGGGACTATCAAAGATTTACCATAAACACCACAGGTACTAATATATTAACATCATTATTGATTTATCGGGACTATAAAAGATCTACCGTCAACACCACAGGTACTAATATATTAACATCATTATTGATTTATCGGGACTATCAAAGATCTACCGTCAACACAACAGATACTAATATATTAACATCATTATTGATTTATCGGAACTATCAAAAATCTACCGTCAACACCACAGGTACTAATATATTAACATCATTATTGATTTATCGGGACTATCAAAGATCTACCGTCAACACAACAGATATTAATATATTAACATCATTATTGATTTATCGGGACTATCAAAGATCTACCGTTAACACAACAGATACTAATATATTAACATCATTATTGATTTATCGGGACTATCAAAATTCTACCGTCAATACCACATGTACTAATATATTAACATCAATATTGATTTATCGGGACTATCAAAGATCTACCGTCAACACCACAGGTACATATATATTAACATCATTATTGATTTATCGGGACTATCAAAGATCTACAGTCAACACAACAGGTACTGATATATTAACATCATTATTGATTTATCGGGACTATCAAAGATCTACCGTCAACACCACAGGTACTATTATATTAACATCATTATTGATTTATCGGGACTATCAAAGATCTACCGTCAACACCACAGGTACTAATATATTAACATCATAATTGATTTATCGGGACTATCAAAGATCTAACGTCAACACCACAGGTACTATTATATTAACATCATTATTGATTTATCGGGACTATAAAAGATCTACCGTCAACACCACAGGTACTAATATATTAACATCATTATTGATTTATCGGGACTATAAAAGATCTACCGTCAACACCACAGGTACTATTATATTAACATCATTATTGATTTATCGGGACTATCAAAGATCTACCTTCAACACCACAGGTACTAATATATTAACATCATTATTGATTTATCGGGACTATCAAAGATCTACCGTCAACACAACAGATACTAATATATTAACATCATTATTGATTTATCGGGACTATCAAAGATCTACCGTCAACACCACAGGTACTAATATATTAACATTATTATTGATTTATCAGGACTATCAAAGATCTACCGTCAACACCACAGATACTAATATATTAACATCATTATTGATTTATCGGGACTATAAAAGATCTACCGTCAACACCACAGGTACTATTATATTAACATCATTATTGATTTATCTGGACTATCAAAGATCTACCGTCAACACCACAGATACTAATATATTAACATCATTATTGATTTATCTGGACTATCAAAGATCTACCGTCAACACCACAGATACTAATATATTAACATCATTATTGATTTATCGGGACTATAAAAGATCTACCGTCAACACCACAGGTACTAATATATTAACATTATTATTGATTTATCAGGACTATCAAAGATCTACCGTCAACACCACAGATACTAATATATTAACATCATTATTGATTTATCTGGACTATCAAAGATCTACCGTCAACACCACAGGTACTAATATATTAACATCATTATTGATTTATCGGGACTATCAAAGATCTACCGTCAACACCACAATTTTTCTGTTAAATTTATTCACAATTTTTTATATAAATTCGTGACGATCAAATCAGTTCAAATAAGTTTTCTTTTAAGTCGGCATGATAAGTTACAATACAAAATATGCTCTGAGTGAGCTTTTGAACCGACATAAACGATTTAGAACTTGAATTATTGTTTAGAAACCTGTATATTGTTGAACAATATATGAGATGTGCTTAGGTGGTTTTTGTCGTTTGATTGCTGTCTTATTGGCGTATTACCCACATCTCCAACAGTTTTAGTTCCGTTTGATGTACTTTTAAATAGGTGTATGACACATGATAAATGAAAGAGTTATTGAGTATAGATTAATTACTTTTCTTTCTCTCAAAAATATGCTCAGAGGAAGATTAATTAAAGAGAGATGTACTTAAGCTTATAGTGCAAAGTAAACAAAACAAAAACCTTTTTACTTTTTAATCTGTAACGCCCTCCCCTCCTCCCTCCATAATTGTTCACCTTTATTCATTTTGAAGACTTGTCCCATCTAAACGAAGTCTGATTGATCTCCAACTTACTAGTAAATTGTTTTTCTGTTCTGGCACATACTTAAATATAAACCTCATTAGATTCGATTAGAATATATTCATTTAAAAGGAATACATATTTTAAAAGTCGTAATAAATTCCATTCAGAACAAAACTAATTCAAATCAGGTTTCGGCAATTCGGATATTTTAAGAAATTACAATTGTTTTTTTTATCTTGTTTGGCTTTGAAACACTGATTTAAGATTTAAGTTGTACACAATGCTTATCATACATTTATATTGTATCATGTATGTAATTTGTTGTTGCCTTATTCCGAAAACAGTGTTCAGCATACGTTTGCTTCTAAAGAGAGAATGTGAAGACAGTATCATACAAGTAATAGCTTTTCTAAAACGCTTGTCGTCTAATTACTTATTATGTTGAACATTGTTTTAAACTTTGTAGTTTCATCTATTTAAAATAGTCCTTTCCATAACAATTGTATTGCGGTTACAAAACATGGACTGGAATATAGGTCTCTACATTTCAGATGTTTAACATTTTTTTAACACATGACATAGGCAAAATCTCTTTGTCCTTACTGTGCTATAAATTGATAATGCACAGCTAAGGTGTGCATTAAGTACCGCAGATATGCTGTACAGTTTAAATGTACTCTTGTCTCAAGTGGAGGGTCCAGGATTTTTCAGTGGCATAGGGGCGTAATTCCATAAAAAATGACAATTTTAGTATTAAACATTGTTAATTCATACAATAGATGCACTGATGTTATAAATCATTGGGAAGGGTTGGGGGCCCGCAAACATATTTAATCTCGACACTTTCTGTATGTGCCTGTCCCAAGTCAGGATCCTGTAATTTTGTGGTTATCGTTTGTTGCTGTATATCATATTTGTTTTTCGTTTATTGTTTTTTACAGAAATCAGGTTGCTGTTTTTTCTCGTTTGAATTGTTTTTCGTTTGTAAATTCGTGGCCTTTTATAGCATGCTATGTTGTATGGGTTTTGCTCATTGTTGAAGGTCCTACGTTGACCTATTATAGTTCTTAACTTCTACGTCATTTGGTCTCTGGTGAATAATTGTCTCACTGGCAATCATACCACATCTTCTTATCTTTATAAAAACTGATTTGGGTTTCGATACGGCTGCTGGATGACGTTTCGTCCCCGAACGTTTCGCCAGCCAGAAGTCAGTATTTTTGTGCTAACATGCAATATTATTGATTAGTTCCTTTCCAGTAAAATTCATCTTTATGAAATGTTGAATTATTCAAAATACTAAGGGTTTCTACCCCACGGCATAAAAAATCATCTCAGTCGCATTTGACACGATTTTCGGAGTTTTTGATTTTCAGTGCTATTCAACATCGTATTTGATTTTCAGTGCTACTCAACATCGTATTTGATTTTCAGTGTTATTCAACATCGTATATGATATTCAGTGCTATTCAACATCGTATTTGATTTTCAGTGCTATTCAACATCGTATTTGATTTTCAGTGCTATTCAACATCGTATTTGATTTTCAGTGCTATTCAACATCGTATTTGATATTCAGTGCTATTCAACATCGTATTTGATTTTCAGTGCTATTCAACATCGTATTTGATTTTCAGTGCTATTCAACATCGTATTTGATTTTGCCTTCAAAGTTTTTTGATTCGAGCTGAACTGAAATGAGTCGTATGTAAACGAAACGTGCGTCTGGTATATCAAATTATAAGTCTGGTATCTTTAATGAATGTTATTTAAAACTTGATATAAGTAACAAAATTGTATAAAGTAGGTCATTGTGACATTCTTTTCATTGATCACTGTTATTTTTCTATAGACGAATCTTTACATCAAGTTAAATGATTTTATGATATTAAGTATCCCATATATCGACTAAATATTATATAAATACATGCTACTTGGCATCTTCGAACTTGACCCTAGGCAGTCTAAAAAATAATACAGGGTGATAGTTTATAATCACGTTATAATCGTTTTTTCAGGCGGTTTTCTTCAATACAGTGCAACAGAAACAACAGAACAGTTTTTTGACAGCTTCACACATCGGGAATTTGAATCGGAAACTCAAAAACAAGGCATAAAACAAGGAAGTTTCATGGGTACGTATTCATATTACCTGAATATAGAAGCGATGGTATTCCAAATCGTTGTGTCCGCCCACATATTGTTACCACAAACCCTGCTTAAACAAAGAATCGATTTCAGAGAAATTTTCTAATAAGCTTAAGTCATTGTTGTATCTAATGGCATTTTGCACCTTTAATATCGTTCTTGATCGAAATGATTTAAAAAAACAAAAACAGGTGCATATCTACAAATGTAGTACTTATTATATCAGCATTTCCTCCTACAACAATGACCATATTTAAATGAAACCTTCTTACATTATGCCATCGTGCATATTTTGAAGTTTTCGGTGAGAATAATTTTGGAGCTTAAAGACAAATGCTTTTATTTAGATCTACCAATAATAGCAGGCGCAGATTCAAGATTTGATATAAGGGGAGACCTGAGAATTAAGAATTAGAGTCCCTTATGTTGACGCAAAAGTGGCTGTAAGTTTACCTTTATTATATATTTTTTAAGGGGCGGCGCCGGGTACTTCCCGCCTGAATCCGCACCTTAATATCTTCTTTAACTTTATTTTCACTTTAGCATAGGTTTATGGATGTTCGCTCCTCTGTTTGAAAATAACAAGCTTTTTCAAAGACTGTAATAAATTGATAGAATATAAATAAAGAAACTTAAGAAGCAAAAAAAAAAATTAAAGATCCGTGCCCTTCTTTTTGAAATATAGTCAACTCAAAATTTGGCGGGAAATGATTTTCTCTAGACTTTTCATACATTTAACATTGGCACCTTTTTTCTTTCAAAAACTATGAAAAAATACAAGGATATTATAAGATTTATGAAAATGGCTTTTAAAAATATTTGTAATAAAATTATGAAAGGAAAAGTAGGGGTTAAACAAATTATTTATTGGCACTAAATCATGGATAAAACTAGATGATTCCGAATATCTGACAAAAAGTCAAAAACAAGAGAAGCGAACATCCTTAAGCTTTAAATTCGCCAATAAAAAATGGGCTCATGGATTTCGTTTTTGATTTAAAACGCTAATATATTTATAGAATTTGGAAATCGAGACTTTGTGTTAGTAACACTGTAATATTTTATAAAAATTCCGTATCACATGAAAGTAGTTTGTTTTGTTAAATTTTTTATTAGTAGAAATATAACTATATTATCAATATTTTCATCTTCTGAAGGACATATGATAACAATATGTTAATTGCATTAATCATTTTTCCGTATTTTTAGTGATGAAAATTCAATAGAATATTCATTGTTATGAAACAAAATAAGAAAATAACAAATGAGGGCCACGGTTCGAAAAAAGAAGGCATAAATAATGATAATAAATAATAAATAATGTTACTTTTTATACATTGTGACTTCGATGGAGATTTGTCTCATTGGCACTCATACCAAATCTTCTTATTTATATATAAAGATTTGAAATGGCCGGAATAAGACGTAAGGCCGAATTGGCGATATTTTCACTTGTTATCACTGTGGGTAAGGTTGTCCTGCGAGAGAATGTAGTGTGCTGGTGATTGGGCCCTGATCGGTGCTCGTGGGTTCTGATTCTGTGCCGGTGATATGGCCCTGATCGGTGCTCGTGGGTACTGATTCTGTGCTGTTGAGTTTGTTTGCATTGTATCAGACCGGCAATAAAACAACAATCTGTTGCTTAATTTTTTCACAAATACGCTTTACGTACCTCATGACGTATATCAAAATGATTTTTGTTATTGCAAAATTCGGGCACATTCGCAGAACGAAATTGTCCTGATAATGTGATGATGATTGGGAAAAATGCTTCTTTGTTTTTAGTAAAGAGTGGGAAATACTCAAGATAATTGAATACATTAGAAACATTGTGTAATTGATAAAAAAGACACCACTATCAAAGCATATTCGGCTTCATTATATCGGACGAGCAACTTTAAGTTTATTTTGACATTTTTCAATGTTGTAATAAGAAAATACGCATATAATCAGGAGGATCATGATCATAAAAAACCGGTCAAAATATCCTATGTCTTTGTCTTGTGGTGTCAACGTATATTTGTTCCGCCTAACAGAAGTTCCACTGGACACATATGACATAGTATCTGTTCCTGTTGGAACAAAGATTCCATAACCTTTATTCCGTAAGGAACAAATACTGATATATTTATTCTAGTGGAAATAATATTACAGAATATTTTTACCACTTGGAACTTATATTATGAAGGAACTTCTATTTCGTGACAGTGACATATAAAATCTTTTCATTTCAGGTTTTGTTGATATGTTGTGACATATAAAGTCTTACATTTCCGGTTTTGATGATATGTTGTGACATATAAAATTGTATAACTTTGTATCAATAAAACGGATATTTCAGTAGCAATAACATATCATTTTTTTTAAAAATAATTATGACACGATTTCGAAACTATTTTTTTTTCTTTTATACTGATGTGTTTTCTATTCATTTGTACTACTTTTTGCAATATCTCAGTAAGTATAAAAGTTTCATTTACGTACCTGTTACCTTGATATATAACATAACATTTTTAACTTCAGTCCTTAGACATTTTGATTTATTGAAAAGAGTATTTTGTTTTGTATTACATCACAACATATCAACAAAACCTGAAATGTTAAGATTATATATGTCACAACATATCAACAAAACCTGAAATGTAAAGATCTTATATGTCACAATATATCAACAAAACCTGAAATGTAAAGACTTTATATATGTCACAACATATCAACAATACCTGAAATGTAAAGACTTTATATGTCACAACATATCAACAAAACCTGAAATGTAAAGACTTTACATGTCACAACATATCAACAAAACCTGAAATGTAAAGACTTCATATATGTCACAACATATCAACAAAACCTGAAATGTAAAGACTTTATATGTCACAACATATCAACAAAACCTGAAATGTAAAGACTTTACATGTCACAACATATCAACAAAACCTGAAATGTTAAGACTTCATATATGTCACAACATATCAACAAAACCTGAAATGTAAAGACTTTATATATGTCACAACATATCAACAAAAGCTGAAATGTAAAGACTTTATGTGTCACAATATATCAACAAAACCTGAAATGTAAAGATTTCATATGTCACAACATATTAACAAAATTTGAAATGTAAAGACTTTATATGTCACAACATATCAACAAAACCTGAAATGTAAAGACTTCATATATGTCACAACATATCAACAAAATTTGAAATGTAAAGACTTTACATGTCACAACATATCAACAAAACCTGAAATGTAAAGATTTCATATGTCACAACATATCAACAAAATTTGAAATGTAAATACTTTACATGTCACAACATATCAACAAAACCTGAAATGTAAAGACTTCATATATGTCACAACATATCAACAAAAGCTGAAATGTAAAGACTTTATATGTCACAACATATCAAAACCTGAAATGTAAAGACTTTACATGTCACAACATATTAACAAAAGCTGAAATGTAAAGACTTTATATGTCACAACGTATCAACAAAACCTGAAATGTAAAGATGTCATATGTCATAACATATCAACAAAATTTGAAATGTAAAGACTTTATATGTCACAACATATCATCGAAAATTTATATGTCACAACATATCAACAAAACCTGAAATGTGAAGACTTTATATGTCACAACATGTCAACAACCTGAAATGTAAAGACTTTATAAGTCACAACATATCAACAAAACCTGAAATGTGAAGACTTTATATGTCACAACATATCAACAACCTGAAATGTGAAGACTTTATATGTCACAACATATCAACAAAACCTGAAGTGTAAAGACTTTTTATGTCACAACATATCAACAAAACCTGAAATGTAAAGACTTTATATGTCACAACATATCAACAAAACCTGAAATGTAAATCCTTTATAAGGTAACAACACAATAAAACATGAAATGTAAAGACTAAATATGACAGAAATACAGCAAAACCTGAAAAGTAAAGACTTGATCAAGTAACGACCAACAAGACCTGAAATATAAAGACTAGATATGACAACAATACAACAAAACCTGAAATATAAAGACTAGATATGACAACAATACAACAAAACCTGAAATATAAAGAATTGCTATGACAACAATACTACAAAACCTAAAAATGAAAGATGTAAACACTTGAAACGGAAATAATGAACAAAATAAGAAATTTGAAGCCTTTTTTAAAAGAAAAACTTAAATAATAATTTATTGCACTGAATCTGCTTAGATATTTAATGAATTAAAATGACAGATACAGCTTCTATAAGGGCTTTATCTGTAACCAACAAAACAAATCATCATTTATAAAGAACTAATATGGTGGCACCTTTACAAACATCATTTATGAAGAACTAATATGGTGGCACCATAAAAAAACATCACTTATAAAGAACTAATATGGCGTCCTATAACATAACATCATTTAGAAAGAACTAATATGGCGGCAAAATAACAAAACATCATTTATAAGGAACTAATATGGCGCCACCATAACAAAAAAATCATTTATAAAGAACTCATATGGCAACTCCATAACAAAATACAAATAATCAGATCTGCTATGCCGACAAAACAAAGCACCAGCCGTTATAAAATGCTATGTCATTACAAGACATCAACAATCAAGACTTTATATGAAAAAAATGACGATTATTATGCATTATGATAACAGCATTACTATTTGTTATAATCAGGTTATTCCATCACCTCAGGGAAACTGTCAGATTCTGATATAGATTGTCCAAGTGTTATTGTACTAGGCACACCACATTTCAGTTCAAAAGATGGAATTGTTGGAGCGGTAAGTTCGATTATTGTACTAGGCACACCATTTAAGTTCAAAAGATGGAATTGTTGGAGCGATTAGTTCAATTGGTATAGTATGCAAATTAAATACAATAAAGAAAATATTTTGTTACATTGGATTATTATAAACCATTGTGTTCAAGTATTAGTGATTCGTGATAGCTGAATAATTATTAACCATCGTGATCGATATAAGGAAGATGTGGTAATATAGCCAATGAGACACTCTCCACTAGAGACCAATGACGTAGAAGTGATCGAGTGTATACCGACGAAGGGTATTTGTGCAGTCGAAATATTTGTCAACACGATTAGGGGACGACCATTTGATATTCTGTGGGGGGGGGGGGGGGGGGGGGGGGGGGGGGGGGGGGGGGCAGGAGGATTTTGAAAATAAATAACTCAGCCTTGATAATCACAAAAATAAATGGTTTGTTCTGTGGTAGTTTGAAAATAAATAATCAGTCCCTTGCTTTAATGAAAATGAAAAATCTTGCTTCAATAGTGCAGAAAATAGATAATCTGTCCTCTTAGTTTACAAAAATAAATAACCGATCCAAAACAAATCCTCCTGCCCCCCCCCCCCCCCCCCCCCCCCCCCAGAATATCAAATGGTCGTCCCCTTATATACCATCCTCTTCGTATATTACCCTCGTATATCAGTATCGTTCCATATGCGTATGGTCGGACCATATGAGTATTATACGCGTCGTTATTAACGGGCCGGACCATATGAGTATTTAGATCGTGTAGGTATTTTTCGAATAATTCTTACTTCTTTTGCAGGAACACACAGCTCATTCTCTATATAGACCAAATACGGCACAAGTTATTATCTGAAGTCCTTTATATTTTACACGTTGTATGAATCTTGGTGTATCTGTTATCTTACATTCGTTAGAGTCAATTTAAATCGTCTTCATGTTGTCGATATTCGTCCGTAATTGAAACCACATGCGTTTGGGGGCATGGACCTTTTTTATCTTTTCTAAATATTTTTTTTTTGTCACAAAATTTCTTCATATTTCTGTTTATTTTTCATTTAATTGATGTGTTCTTGCTCTTATTGATATGATCTAAATGGCATTGTTAGATCGCATGAATAGGAACGAAAAACAATAAGAAATATTTAATTAAATACAATCAAATTTAAACATCAAAATAAATTTTTAAAAAAGAAATAGGGTTCAATGATCAAAGTTCCTGTGAGTTAAGCAATTGACCTATTTCATTTCATTTAGATATTTCTTGAATTAATTATCCAAAGTCGACATATTGCGTTTCGTTAGAACAAATCGATAATGACCATGTAAAAGTTATTTCACCATAATTCTCACTTGTAAGTAATATTTTCTTTATTAAATTGATTGAATAAGTCAAAATTTCATTTTAGAATGTCTTAATTTATGTGACACCTTTTCAACGTTCATCATGTTAATTACCCGGACCATAAGCGTATGGTCGGACCATATGAGTATATACACAGATGGTCATGGCCATACGCGTATGGTCCAAATACTCATATGGTCCGGAACATATATTAATAATTATAAACCATCGTGCTCAAGTACTAGTATATTATATATGAATAATAAACGATCGTGCTCAAGTATATTATATATAAATTGTAAATTGTCGTGATCAATCTTATTATAGCTTAAGAATTGCAATCCATCGTGATCAAGTAAGATATATGATTCATGATAGCTCTTTCCTTTTTTTCACAATGTATTACACATCTGACTCATTATCAGCAAACATGTCCATTTACTATTCATTGTAAACCGTGAATATGCAATGCAAGGCACAGTACAAGATAATAAATACACACATCAACGCGATGAAAGTAAAATATTATCGTCACGTTTTTGACCCTTAGCAAAACTATTTCGAAGGGTTTGTATGTGTCATCTATCCAACACATTTGTATTTTCCAGTAGCTGTTTAAAAGTCACGCCATTCACCACGGTTGACCATTTTTGTAGAGCCTAAACATTAGATGCATTGTTCTTGTCCTGAATATGCATGAAATAGTTGCCACTTGACTTTAAGTAAACAATATTAATCTATTATGCAAGTCTAAATTGAAAACAACGTTCAAACCTATGATTGCGTTGGGTAAAAACCGCAATTGGTATACGTGTGCATGCAAAACAAATTTCTTGGTAGAGGGGTCTAAATACAGCACAAACAACATTTTCCAAAAGACCAAAAAAGTAAAAAAGTATATTTTAACAAAACGCATATATATATATATATATGAGTTCGAATCCCGGTGAGGGAAGAACAAAAATTTGCGAAAGCAAATTTACAGATCTAACATTGTTGGGCTGATGTTTAGACGAGTTGTATATACAGAATGTACAGAGTCATGTATCACCATCACTGCTGGTGATCCGATGGATAAATCTGTTGTAGAGTTGTCACTGGTTCAGACGTACTTATTAATATAATTATTTCTGTGACTGTATCTTGCATTAATTTGTAGGATCCTTTACAATAGATATTTCAGCTGATCTGTAACAATTCCATCTTCATGCCTTGAATATCATGTACTGTATTACGACGCTAGATTAAAACTGACGAGGAAAGGTAACACCCGGCCACCGAAAGCTTTATATTGTGAAGCCTAGGTGGTCGTGTGGTCTAGCGCGTCGGATACAGTGCAGGCGATTTGGTGTCACGATATCTCAGTAGCATGAGTTCGAATCCCGGTGAGGGAAGAACAAAAATTTGCGAAAGCAAATTTATAGATCTAACATCGTTGGGCTGATGTTAAGACGAGTTGTATATATATATATATATGTATATATATATATAAACGCCTAAAAAGTGTACACAACAACACCAATAACAAAAAAAGGAACTATAAATGTAATTATTTATAAATATTTCGGATAACAGATATCCTTCATCAGTAAATATGATTGTGATGTTGAATGAATCATATATCAGTCTACTTAGATTAAACTATAACAATCTTGAAATTTATACAATAAAAAAGTCCAACCGAACATCAGGTAAGACGCTTGCACAATTCTAAATATGTGTTAAACACGACATAGGTTATATGACTAGTTACAACAGAGAGTTCAAATATATGCTTTAAATAAAAATAATAATGTGCGATATGAACTAGCACAATTCTAAGCTTTAACGGTGACGACAGTTATGATGTTACAAGAACGATTGCGTCAATAAGAATTCCAAATAAACAGCACTGAACGATCTAAATTTGTGAATATTTCAAATTTGACAACGGTAGAGTAGTTACAACAGAGTCTGCGTATTTAAACATCGCAAACAAACGGCCGTTAAAATATAATAATACATTTTGACTAAGGTTAACTAGTTGAACGTGGCTTGGTACTTTTACATCCCTTAAAAAATTAAACAATTTAAATTGGTATACTCAACAGATTTATTTTAGAGATGAGTAAGGTAAAGAAATAGAAACAGAGACTGTAATAATAAGTAATATAACCCAATTGTGAAGCACTGCATGGAGTCGAACTACATCTTTTCATTTATCCCATTTGGTGCCAAAGTTGTTAATTTTCTTATCCAAAATCTTTCCCGAGTGAGTCTATTCTGCCTAGACCAAGCAGAGTTGTGGTCAATGATTGTAATGGTCAGTCGATTGAGATCTGCCTTAGTGTGGCCAGGGGATCTCAAATGTCGACTTAGAGGGAGGTCTGGTTTGCATTGGTAGTCGCTACGATGACCGTTCATTCGTTTGTGAAACGGCTGTTCTGACTCGCCAACATACTAATTACCACATTTACACTGTAGGAGATACACAACATTTGTAGTCTTGCAATTAACATTGCAAAATATGGTGTATTCTGTACCAGTGGAGTGACTGTTAAAAGTCTGGGTAACCAGTATTTGTTTGCAAGTCAGACATCGTTTGTTTCCGCAACCCTTGCAAGAGCCCACAGACGAAGAGCCTGCTTGAGAGGATAAATCAGCTCTCACCAGCAAGTCTTTAAGGCTTTTGGGCCTACGGAAAGCCAGTACAGGTGGCTCGGGAAAGATCTTGGATAGTTTAGGATGTTTTTCGATTTCTTTCCAATTTTCGCGGATTAGGTGAGATAAGTTGTCAAATTTTGGATGGTAAGTCGACACAAAAGGCACCCTCCTGTTGACCTTTTTGACTTTATATTGTAAAAGTTCATCTCGGCTGATGTTGTTAGCACGAGAAAAACCTTTATCAATGTCTTTTCTTTTGTAGCCCCGATGTTTTAGGTGACCGCGAAGTTCTTGTAGTCGTTTTTTTGCAATATCGTTGGTGGAGCAAATCCTTTTTATTCGTATGGCCTGGCTGTAGGGAATGCTCTTGGTGCAATGTTTAGGGTGACAACTCAAAGGAGATAGATATTGATGTTTGTCTGTGGGCTTGCAATACAGATCTGTAAATATGTTTCCATCCCTCACTTGTGTTGTAGTGTCAAGAAATGTGATCTTAGAGTCAGAGATTTCATATGTGAATTTTATTGAGGGATGGGCATCGTTGGCATGTTGAATGAACAAATTTAGTTCTTGTGCAGTATTATCCCACTTCATGTCAATATCATCGATAAATCGGAACCAAGAGAGGGGTTGATAAAGAGAAGAATTGAGAATTCTCTGTTCTAATTTCCCCATAAAAATATTGGCATAAGACGGGGCCATCTTTGTTCCCATTGCTGTTCCATTAACTTGGAGAAAGTGTTCACCATGGAATGTGAAGTTATTGCATTGTAATACCAAAGTTAGAAGCTGGATGAGACATTCAGTCGGTGGATGTAAGCTGTATCGAGAGTTCCAGACTTCCCTACAGGCTTCAATACTATCGTCATGGGGGATGTTAGTATAGAGGGAGGTAACATCAAGCGAGACAAGAATCGTTTCAGGTGGGAGAGGGTTCAAAGATTCCATTTTCTTAAGATAATGTGTTGTGTCTTGTATATAGGATGGTAAATTTTCCACATGTGGTCTCAGATGAAAGTCAATAAATTCTGAAATTTTCTCTGTAGGGTGGTCATTGGCGGAAACAATTGGTCTACCTGGATTATTGACTTTATGTATTTTGGGCAGAAGATAGAAACGCCCCGGCTTTGATTTTTCAGGTTTTAGATATTTAAATGTGTTTTCATCAATATGTCCCTGTTCACACATGTTTTTCAGGTTTGTGGTGATCTCTTTGTTGAATTGAGGGGTGGGGTCAGAGTCTAATTTCTTATAAAATCTCTCATCAGAGAGTTGACGTTGTGCCTCTTGAATGTAGTCACATTTGTCCATGACGACAACAGCGCTACCTTTATCGGCTGGTTTTATTATAATGTCGTCTCTGTTTTTAAGTAACCACACAGCTTCATTTTCTTCAAACGATAAATTGTTGAATGTTTGGGAAGTGGCAGTAGACAGATGTGTTACGTCGGATTTAATTTTGTCAATAATATGTTCTAAAGTAGCACATTTACTGGGTTTAGGAATCCATGAACTTTTTTTCCTGAATCTGGGAATATCGACATCTTCTTTGTCGTCATCTGAGTCGAGATCACTTGTGTCACTATCAGTGGTACTTTTTGTGGTGTCCTTAGAAAAATATTCCTTGATTCTGAGTATATATGTATATGTACGTCTGAACCAGTGACGACTCTACAACAGATTTTATCCATCGGATCACCAGCAGTGATGGTGATACAAGGCTGAAAATACATTCTGTATATATAATTCGTCTAAACAACAGCCCAACAATGTTAGATCTGTAAATTTGCGCAAGCAAATGTTTTGTTCTTCCCTGGCCGGGATTCGAACTCATGCTACTGAGATATCGTGGCACCAAATCGCCTTGCACTATGCCCGACGCACTAGACCACTCGACCACCTAGGCTAGACTAAAATCAAGCTTTCGGTGGCCGGGTGTTACCTTTCCTCGTCAGTTTTTATCTAGCGTCGTAACACAGTACATGATATATAAGGCATGAAGATGGAATATTACAGATCAGCTGAATAATCTATCGTAGAGGATCTTACAAATAATGTAAGATGCAGTCACAGAAATAAATATATTATAAGTACGTCTGAACCAGTGACAACTCTACGACAGATTTTATCCATCGGATCTCCAGTGATGGTGATATAAGGCTGAAAACACATTTTGTATATATAATTCGTCTAAACAACAGCCCAACAATGTTAGATCTGTAAATTTGCGTAAGCAAATTTTTGTTCTTCCCTGATCGGGATTCGAACTCATGCTACTGAGATATCGTGGCACCAAATCGCCTTGCACTATGCCCGACGCGCTAGACCACTCGACCACCTAGGCTCGACTAAAATCAAGCTTTCGGTGGCCGGGTGTTACCTTTCCTCGTCAGTTTTTATCTAGCGTCGTAACACAGTACATGATATATAAGGCATGAAGATGGAATATTACAGATCAGCTGAATAATCTATCGTAGAGGATCTTACAAATTAATGTAGGATGCAATCACAGAAATAATTATATTATAAGTACGTCTGAACCAGTGACAACGACAGATTTTATCCATCAGATGTCTGTGATGATTATCAACATCACAAAATTAGCTGTGTTAAGCCGGACAACACAATGAGGGTGTATAGTGGGGCAGGTTTATATTATCAATATCATATATTTATGCAAATAGAGCTTGTATTTCCTAATGAAAATGTTATTCTGTATGATACTGTAATGATTTGAAATATTCTCTTTATTGTTAGGTTCTAGTAGTATGCGCAGAAATAAGGATGACGGGGAAAAGATTATATGTCAAGAAACAGTTTAGTGGCAAACAGGTAATATGTAACATTAATAAGAAACAGGTAGTATGAAACGGTTATAAGAAACAGACTCTAGACAAACAGGTAATATGTAACAGTAATAAGAAAGAGGTAGTATGAAACGGTTATAAGAAACAGACTATAGACAAACAAGTAATATTTAACAGTAATAAGAAAGAGGTAATATGAAACAGTAATAAAAAAAAGACCATAGACAAACAAGTAATATGAAACAGTAGTAAGAAAGAGGTAATATGAAACGGTTATAAGAAACAGACTATAGACAAACAAGTAATATTAATTTATTCTAAAACCAGTTGTTGGCATGATACGGGTTATGTTCTTCTCATATATTTTATGATGGTATGATACTAAACCCCTACCGGGAGGGATTGTACTTGATTTTCATATGATGAAGACATAATCTTTCAATCAGTTTAATTGAGGTCTGGAGCTGGCATGTCAGTAACTGCTAGTATAGTCCTTTGTTCATTTATGTATCATTGTCATTTTGCTTAGTTTCTTTTGTTACCTATTCTGACATCGGACTCGGACTTCTTTTAAACTGAGTTTTACTGTGCGTATTGTTATGCATTTCTTTATTCTACATTGGCTAGAGGTACAAGGGGAGGGTTGAGATCTCACAAAACATGTTTAACCCCGCTGCATTTTTGCGCCTGTCCCAAGTTAGGAGCCTCTTGCCTTGGTTAGTCTAGTATGTTTTTTAATTTTAATTCATTTATATGTTTTGGAGTTTAGTGTGACGTCCTTTTTCACTGAACTATTACATAATTTTAGTTAGGGGCCAGCTGAGGACCACCTCCGGGTGCGGGATTTTCTCGCTGCATTGAAGACCCATTGGTGGCCCTCGGCTGTTGTTTGCTCTTTGGTCGGGTTGTTGTATCTTTGACATATTCCCCATTTCCATTCTCAATTTTAATATTAAACATTAATACGAAACTTATTATAGACAAACAAACAGGTAATATGAAACAGTAATACGAAACATACCATACAGAAACAGGTAATATGAAACATTAATTCAAAACAGTTCATACACAAACAGGTAATATGAAACAGTAATAAGAAAACAAACAGACAAACAAGTAATATTAAACAGTAATACAAAACAGGTCACAAACAAACAGGTAATATGAAACAGTAATAAGAAAGACGTAGTATAAAATGGTTATTAGAAACAGAATATAGACAAACAAGTAATATGAATCAGTAATAAGAAAAAGACCAGACAAAAAAGTAATACGAAACATATTATAGACAAACAGACAGGTAATATGAAACAGTAATTCGAAACATACCACACAGAAACAGGTAATATGAAACAGTAATACAAAACAGTTCATAAACAAACAGTTTATATGAAATAGTTATAAAAAAAGACCAGATATACGAAACAAACCATAGACAAAAAAACCAACAGGTAATATAAAAAAGTAATACGAAACATAACATACAGAAACAGGTAATATGAAACAGTAATTAGAAACATACCATAGAAAAAGAAACAATATGAAACTGTAATAAGAAGCAGATCATAGAATAACAGGTAATATGAAACAGTTATGAGAAACATATCATAGATACACGTGTAATATGAAACAGTAATGAGAAACAGATCACCAACAAACAAAACATTAAAAACAATTGTGAGAAACAAACCATAGACCAACAGGTAATATGAAATGGTAATAAGGAATAGACCATCAACAAACATGTAATATGAAACAGTAATAAGAAATATACCACAAACAAACAGGTAATATAAAACAGTAATAAGAAACGAAACAGACCATAGACAAACAGGTAATTTTAAACGGTAATAAGAAAAAGACGATAGCAAACAGTTATATGAAACAGTCATAAGAAACATATCATTGACAAACAGGTAATACGAAACAGTAATTAGAAACAAACCAGATAAACAGGTAATATTTAACAGTAATAAGAAACCTACCATAGAGAAACAGATAATATGAAACAGTAATAAGAAACAGACCATAGACAAACAGGTAAGATGAAACAGTTATAAGAAACATACCATAGACAAACAGTTAATATGAAACAGTGATAGGAAAAAGACCATTGACAAACAGGTAATATGAAACAGTAATAAGAAACAGACCATAGACAAACAGGTAATATAAAACAGTAATAAGAAACGAAACAGACCATAGACAAACAGGTAATTTGAAACAGTAATAAGAAACAGACCATAGACAAACAGGTAAGATGAAACAGTAATTAGAAACATATCATAGACACACGTGTTATATTAAACAGTAATGAGAAACAGATCATCGACAAATGGGTTATATGAAACAGTAATGATAAACATACCATAGACAAAACATGTAATATGAAACAGTAATAAGAAACAGACCATAGACAAACAGGTAAGATGAAACAGTAATTAGAAACATATCATAGACACACGTGTTATATTAAACAGTAATGAGAAACAGATCATCGACAAATGGGTTATATGAAACAGTTATGATAAACATACCATAGACAAAACATGTAATATGAAATAGTAGTAAGAAACATACCATAGACAAACAGGTAATATGAAAAATGTTTAAGAAATATACCAAACTCCAAGGTAAATTCCAAATAGGGGAAGTCCATAAAAGCTGACAAAATCAAGCGTTATCAACTAACGGAACGAGTGAAAAACAAGTGCATATTCCTGACTTGGTTCAGGCATTTTCCAAGGAAAGTGATAGGTTAAACCTGGTTCCATAGCTAGCTTAACATCCCAGTTGTATGACAGTTATTTATACTTCCGTTATATTGACACAATTTGGTGAGCAACCAAAACAAACATACAAGGTTAATGTGAAAATAATTCGGACCCAGCAGCCATAACTGTGTACAAATACATCTCAGGCATACAACACAACTGACTTAAAAGATAAAAAAAACAAACAAACATACAAACACATCTAACAAATCTAACAAAGACACCAACAAAAAGATTATTGTAGTTGATAGTAAATTGATAAAGACGCCGATAAAAACGTTTTGTAGCTGATTGTTCATACATACCGTATATAGTATACACTTTCTCGATAGAGTATAAATTAAGTAAAGTATGAATACAAGGGTAAACAAAATGGAAACAACACTGTAGATCCTCTTATGTCCGAATAACACCTCATGACCCACCTGCACTAGGAACGCCCAAAGTCAAAAACCTAATACGGGGATGCATAAATACCGAGTCACGTCAAAAGTCATACGACCAAAAGAACATATACCACGGAGACAACTAAAGGGAAAACTGTAAAGTATATAAAAAAATTCAAAACCTCAGCACCTAGAATCTATAACTCAAGACCATCTTGTATTAACTGTAATAGCAAACAGATCATAGACAACAAGCTTATATGAAACGGTTTTTAGACAGAAATGTAAAGATATATGAAACGGTTTACTCGTATGATAGTTATGAGGTGAGGATTTAGTCCAAATTATTGTATTGTTGGAGCTCCTGAACATTTAAGGACCTCTTTAATTTGAATACAGGATATTCATGAATGATTGAGGAACCACTGAAATATATCAGGACCTCATAATTTGATTTAACGACATCCTTATATCGAATTGTGGAAGTCTTGAAAAAATAGGGAAATCTATAAATATTTTAGGATATCATGAAAATGAAATGTGATCCTAAAATATATAATCATGGAGCTCCATAAAAATTCAGGATATCCTGAAATATTCAAGGACCTCCCAAAATAAAGCAATTTTAAACAATTATTTATTGAGGTCTTGTAATATTTCTGGACATACTGAAGTCGAGTTATGGAGGTCTTGAAATATTTCAGGATATATTGAATTATGGAGGTCCTGCAATACTCCAGAAAGTCCTATCTGATTCATTGATATTCTGAATTCGAATTATGGCTGTCTGGAAATATTTGGAAGAGCCCCTTAAATACAATGGTTTTGACTAATACCGGGTCTTTAAGCTAATACTGACTACTCTTAGTGATATAAGTCATCTGTTTCAAATAATGTTATCTTTTTTATGTTTGAATTTTCCTTCTAAAAATGGTAAAGTAGATGACAATGAGATTGGATCAAGTTCCTTTGTACATTCACATGTATTTTGTTTTTTTTATTAAAGACACTTTTGAAAAAGTGTGTTCGTATCTTAGGTGTACAAATCATATACATGTATATAGTTCAATTTAGGATAAATCAAAAAATTAAAATTGATAATTGTTATTATGTCATGTTTTCAATATGTTACTTTTAGATAATTTTCTAAATTTACATATTATGATTGATTGATTGATTGGTGTTTAACCTCTATAGGCAATTGCGCAGCGGTCAGGTTTTATTGGTGAAAGAAGCCTGAGTGCCCGGAGAGAACCGCCGACCTTCAGTAGGAAAACTGATAATCCTAGTCAATCAAGATTCGAGTCGAACGCACCTGCCAAATACGGGGTTGACAGTCTAGTGGAACAGTTGTTGAACTACTTAGACTACTCGATCACCCAGACCCTAAATAATATTATGAATAACACATTCACTATTAGAAATTAATAGACAAGTCCCCATTCCAATAATGTTTGTATCATTTGATTACCTAGAAATTAAGGAAAATTAAAAAAAAAATTACCATCCACCTAGTCTTATTTTACTCAAGTTAATATTTTAGGTTTTAGTACTTCCGTTTTTACTCTGTAACAAGTAAAGCTACATACAAAAATGTTCCAAAAATAAATTTCACATCGTGCATGATTTTTAACAGGATTTTCTAAGGAAAATATCGGTTATTAATTTATTGATCTACGGCGGGCAAATTTAGAAATGTTGTTTCCTGTGATTAAATGAAGGTCATTTTCGATTTTAACGATTTTAGCATTTATCGTTGTTGAGTTCACTACAAACCAGTAAAAGTCTGAAATGGTCTATATCTGTACTCGACTGTACTAATTTTACTCGACCAGTCTGAATTGGTCTGAAATTTAACTGATGTT